TGATTATCTCTGCCAATAAGTAGTATTCTTATCTCGAACAACTACATGTTATTCCTCATCTCGCATCTATATTGACGGTGTCTACCATCAGCGTAAGTCCCAATGCTCTCCTGTTTGTTTTTTATATGCTTGTAAGCAAGGTTTGGGTTGTGAGCTTTCCTAGTATATGAATGATGCTGCGGAAACTTTTCATTTGGAACGTGAATTTTCGGAATGTGAATACTGGCGGTAGTGACAGTATGTGGCATACAAATCAGACAATCTGCGCACAAATTCATTTTGAGAGTTTTGCATTTGTGCGTGGTCCAAAAAAAATTCACACAGCTAGACCTGTCTTCAGAAATGGTTATTTTGAAGGAGGAAAGCTACTTTTTCATTTAAGAACGACTCCCCCGGCGCTGCGCAGGCTCATGATGCTAAGTAAAAGACGCTGAGCGCTAAGCTTCAAGTCGCGACCCAACCAGGGCATCGCAGAGCTGCGATGTAAACAAAGCTGCTCGATAGCGCGCGATCAGCGGCGCGCCCAGCGGCGCGCCCAGCGCGGGGCGGCGTGGACAAGAGCAGCCAGCTTAGGGGCAGCCAGTATGGGCCTGCGGAATAGACAAGCTGCTCTTAACATACCTTTGAAAACGGTAAGGTGTATTGTGTTGATGGGTCGGTTGTTGAGTACCGGCAAGACATTTCGCCACCATGTTGTTGTTTAACCTTTTTAGTACAGTGATTATTTCCTGTTAACAGAAAAGTAATCATGCCAAGTCGCCCACGCATGCCAGTAGCCTGCAGGTCCTGACTGTCTGTGACACGGCGCCTAGTGACGTGAGGTGGGTTGCGTAACATGAATTGGGTTTGCCCGACCGGGCCCCGAGGTCATGCTTACTTTAATTTCGAAAGTACTCTGCTTGTGTTACATGTTACTTCCGCTCATCAACCGTTTTTCAAAGACCACTACGGAAATCTGTCGTAACGTTCTCAGAATATTGCATCAAACTGCAATGATTTTGTTCGTGGAATGGCGAGCAAGTCGAAATGAAGCAAAGAAGTGATGCATAATGATGTTTAACAATATGACAGAAAGCGTGCTCAATTCAGCAGCATTGCCCCACCAAGGTTTCCAAACATTCCTCACTCATAACGCAGCGTCTCAGTTATGCAGCTGCTCAGGGCAAAGTATCTCCCGTAAAAGCTCTGGGTGAGGAGGTACGAGGACATGGCACTCAACGTTCCCAAAATTGTATATTATGCGTATGGCGTTGCATGGAAAGAAAGTTTGACAAAACTCTTTGTGTCATATGCTTTGATCCGCGGTGCAGCTTATGAGGCTGACGTAATGGGTGGATAGGTAAAAATCTGTAAAACATAGGGGTTTCGCAGTCTGAATATTTTTCGAAGCAATTGTAGCTTGCTGGCGATCTACAGTGTGTAGAAACTATTACGCACGAACTAAAACAAAAGAAATGATATGAATAGTGCGGATGTTAGGGTCCAGGACGCCAACGCTGTCCAAACAGTAACTTCGCCAGCTGATCGCTAAGTTTATGCAAATAAATAACGATAAACTAGTCATTGTGACGGAATCACTTGTTGGCCATTTTAATTGGTAAAAATACTATATATTCAGTGATCTAACGTGTAGATGAGGGATGAAATAGGAAACATAGTGCAAAAGACAACCAATATCTGAAAATGACGAAGTGCATGCAGAAGAGGGTAGTGAAAGTCGCAAGCGACAAAGTGGAGGAATCTCAGCGGCTTCTCTCATAAACAGCTGGGTGTACTTGATCACTCATCCACAAAATACTACTGAAGCTGAAATTGGGATATAAAGAGACAGAATATCCGACAAACGACTATTAATGACGTTAATTCCTAGAAATCTAGTATGCAGCGCTTTTCCAAGGATTCATTGTCTGGTAAAAGTGCGGCAGATGTCGTCATGGACGGCAAAACATACTTGACCAATTGAGGAAGTGATTTGCCCTGCGATGCGGTTGTTAATTCTCTCCCCAGTGGTGATACCCCAAAACTTGTAACGTTCAAGCCTCGGCGAAGCTTTCCGAAGAGAGTGCTGTTGGGAATAGCCATCAGCTCTCGTAGAATCGGGTGTCCAGCTTTCTGCAAGAGCGTGGTAGCTACCGAAGCGAGTTTTGCAGAGAAAGCGCATCAAGGCGAAAAGCGTTCCTTTTGTGCAAAATAGCCTGGAAGGATTATATGGACTGGGCAGATTTGGCGACGGCCCACAAGGAGGATGAAACACTTGCTCTCCTCGAGAAGCTCTCCATATCGTATATCAAAAAAGGTTCCGCTACTTCCACTCAACTTTTCCCCTCACGCACCACAAACGCGTCCGATAAGGACATCATAAAGGGGGTATCATGAAGCAGAAGTTGTAGGGGGGGGGGGGATGATCACATCAAATCAACAGCCGGTCGTCCGCAATCGACTGGTCATCAAATCCCTGGACCCGGAGGTCGGGGGCGAGGAAAGCTTCTGACTTACCGGATATGATCGGTGACAAAGACTGATACCTTTGCGAACCAATTGGTGGCAAATTTCCGAAAATAAATACAAATTTCAACAGACAGGACCATATTACAACAGATTATCCCAGCTCGATGAAACTCAAGACTTAGTATTGGTCTGTACTCGCTAGCACTTGCGGCATGAACACATAGTTGACATTTCGCTGTATGTGCAAGTGAAGCCGTAAGATGCTGCCAAAGATAGTAGCTTTAACCAGGATAGTTTTTAGCAGGTGACAGAAATATACTACAAACTATACTTTATCAGTGGTGACGTCACAGATCAGTGGTGACAGTGCTTTTCCAATGCCCTCAGATCAGTGCTTCCCACAGATTTTTTCAGTCAAGATTTACTTCACATACTAAACGGTATAAAGCACAAAATGACTAAGTTTATTACTGCCCGTAAGAATCGTGGCTGGCCACAGCATCTTGCGGCGAGCGTGATCAGTTTCTATGCAGATTTTTAAGACGTCGTGCCATTTGAGACAGATGGGCTTGGTTGCTCGCCACGCAATAATGCGTTGGGTTTAATGCAAGCATGTGGGGTGCTGTTAGATGCGTTCATGTCGTGAGAAGTTGGCTGACTAGAGGAACGTTACTAATTGCCAGTTTTTAAGGATTATAGCGTTAACAAGCCCTGCCGATCTAGGAAAACTGTTGTTTGTGGATACCTGAGCAGTAGCTTCAGAGGTAAACGGAGGTCGTTGGAACGTCATATGTCGAGGATTCATGCGGGGCTTCCTTCTACTGAGAGAAACACTGGCTTTAAGGTAAGAGGTCGAGCATCGCTGGTGTAGGCCTCTCACATTGCCCATTGCACCTCAGACTAAGCGCACTGCTGGGTGGACGGGCGTGAGATGAAACCTTTTTAGTTGTCACCTTATTGTATATAAAGATAATTTGGGATGTTAGAGATGTTCAGAAATGTCGGCTGCATCTATTAATATCAATATTGTGTGGGTTTTGCCCTAAATAACTGGTATCATGTTAGGAAGTGCGAGTTCAGCACCGGCAATGAATTCGCGAAAATAATGGAGGTCACCAACGCTTCCAGTTGATTGTACGATGACGTCACAAAAACAAAAGTGATGTTGTCTCTGGCGCCTGTAAAACCATGTTATCGGTAAATGTAGAACTACAGGGATGCAGTTTTGCAAAATACATAGGGGTGGGGGTTGGCAGCGGGAGGGGGAGGGGGGTGCAGGAAGAAAAATGACTGAGCCTGCCTCCGAAATGCGCTTAAAACAGCAGTTTTCTCCCCAGGATTTGCGCACTTTTTTGCGGTCAGAAGCAGGGATGTAGTTTCTCAAAACTAGTTTTTCGGCGGCTGAACTCCCCAATTTATGCCCAATGAAAAGTAGTCAGGTGGTTCGGACGGTTAAAAATTTCCTCGGTGACAGAAAAGACACTTTTTCACCTCTGCTGGAGGTGCTGCCAAAGTTGATCCAGCATCTACCCCACTGCCCGTACGTGGGTGCACGGCTAGCCGACATTTAATTCAATCTACTGTTTATTCCAAAAAGAACGCAGTACATGATTCCAGCCTCAGCATAATGGTTTTACTTTGTCTTTCTCTCAGCTTCGCATGACTGTATATTGAAATTAATTTTATTCAGATTCCAGGTCATCACCCGCCACATTAAGCCAGAGGCTGTCCTGCATGGCAGTGTGCCTCAAACTCGCCCCATCAGCCCGGTCGGCTCTGCAGGCAGTTAATAGGAGAGGGTGCCGCTGTCCCCGCGCCTGTGATGACGTTGGATGCGACTTGGTGTTTTCTTTTCGTTGTCCTCTGATGTGTCCCGAAGGCAATATGAAAATTATTTATGATTTTGCAGTTGAAACCATCTAACTCAGCATTTTGTGTTCAACTGTCCTTACCTCTCCAGGGAATCTAGTTTTTTAAGCCCGTAAAGCCCCCATTGAAGTAACGTCACCTGTGTCATCACGTCTTCCCATCAGACTTCCGGCGTCCAACTAGGGTGGGATGAAGCTGCCTCTTGCCATACTTCATTCGCTCCTCTGCTCGACGCCCTTCTGAAACGAGATCCTCCGCGTCAAAAACGTCATTGTTGCCCAGCAACCACTCCCAATCGATGTGCGTCATTCTGGAGACTCAGACCCCACGAGCCCTTGAGCCTGACCGGTGAACTTCGTTTCGGCGCCGTCCAGTGGCGGCGGACGCCGAGATCAGGCATCCGGCTCTCCACAGTCGCCTGCGGCCACTGCCGACACCTTTTGCAGCGCAGATTTCCGGCATCGTCGGCCGCCGGCCAGAAACTTTCCCCGTTAGCGGTCTGCTGGTAGGAGCGACATCGTCGCCGTCACGAGCGGCGGGCTCATTGCCTTCTTTGTTGCATGCTCCCTTCAGACGCCGACGCCTGTGTGCCGCTGTTGGCGTCAGGCGGCCCAAACTTGGGCCGCTTGGTGTCGAGCCGCCGCTGGCACGTCGTCACAGTGAAGTTCACCCTTCGCCGACAGCTATCGAGATGAGTCATCGATCGGGGGACGCGCCTCTGGTCCGGAGCTGTCTGCCGGAGGGGGACATCAGCTCTCCGTATTACCGGGTGAGATCTTGGCAGCGCACGAATAATGTTTCTGTCTTTGTCTCTCTGTCTTTGTCTCTCTGTCTCTGTCTCTCTGTCTTTCCTTCTCTTTGTCTCTCTGCCCCCCCCCCCCCCCCGTCTCTTTGTCTTTCTGCCCCCCTGTCTCTCGGTCTATCTGTCTGTCTGTCTCCTTTTCTTTCGCGCGATCGCTCGTCAGATACGACCCGGGATGTGGCCGTTCGCTAAATAGAATCTCTTCAGCATTTAGTCCGGCTCCATAATAACACGTTTACGAATCCGCGTTATGCACGCGTCGTTATGTCCTCTTTTTGAGAACACCGTTTCTAACCAACCTAACCGCTTCTAACCCTCGCAAATGTGTATAAATATTTTTTACATTCCATCGGTAAATGTCTCCGAGCGGTATCAATCTGCCGTGCCTCTTGGTTAGCAGCCTGCATTCCTACCAGATCGTTGCTGTGCAGCCCTGGTCTAGTTTTCACCTCGTCAAGGCCCGTCAGGCCCTTGCCGTGACCTTGCCTGACACACGAGGCCCACGAGAAGGGTCGACAGACCATGTCGTCTCCGCCATCCAAAACAGATCCCGGTATCGTGGCGGCTCGTTAGCGTAATTAACGCGCCGCGTTCGCCGCAGCAGCGGTGGCGGGCGGCCGTCGACGGGGCCGGCTTGCCCGTCGACACGCGGCTGCTGGCCGGCTCGCCGCCCTCGCTCCGATCAACCGAGGTCACGCGGTGTCTCACGCCGTCGCCGCCGCCGCCGCCGCCGCCGCCACCGGCGCCAGCGGATAGGATCACGCTCACGCGGACCACGCAGCGGCAGAGCTTCGTATGACGGCTCGGCCGCAGCACGTGTCGCTGTCTGCGAGGAGGAAGTTCGCGTTTATCGTTACAGATCGGACCTGCGTGACTGGCTGATGATGGGCTCGTAGTTGCGGTCCTCCGGCCCCGCGGTGTGGATGGTTCATTGTCCTGATGAGGGGATGCCCGCTCCCCGAAATCGAGCCCGTGCTCCAGCGTCGGTGTTCGGACAGGACGACTCGCGTTGAGCTGCATACGTCACCGCCCCATTGGAGGGGGGGGGGGAGGGGGGGGGAGGCCGCCGCCATCCACCACCGTGCGAGTGAGCAGAGGGCCTCCGCAGCCGACAGAGCGCCTGTTCCTGGTGTCCTACCTCCCGTCGCTCGCTGGACTGGCGCTGTCCGCTCGTGGCGTCTGCCGCGCTGGACCCGCCGTCTGTCGACTGTCTATCGTTCTCCGTCACCAAAGTGACTGGCTGCGAAGCGATGTCCCCCACACGCTCATCTGATGCTTCCCGTCAATACGAGCATTGTGTGCGCATAGCATTATGCAGGTGAATCTGCATCGATCTCAGTCAATACACAAAGTTCCTTCAAGCCCGAGAGTGATCGCTCAGCGTGTGCTTCAACCTCTCGGTGCACACGCTGGCTCCGGCCCTCGCGCGCGCGTATACATCACAACACATTCTGACTGACGCCATGTATTGTGGAATGTTCGTAAACATGTCTCCCTCATGTGCAGATTACGCTGGTGTTGACGTTTGATAATGAAGGATATATGCTAAAATAATCAACAAAAGGTGACGTCAGCGCACCGACGGCAGGTCGACGTGAAACTGACAACACCGCGGGCGCCCCGAGCTTCTCGTGAATGGATTTAAATGTGCTGTCACTAAAAATCTGTACCATGTTTGTTAAATTGTATTTTCTACTGCTTTGTTCAATCATTCTGAACTACGTACATGAATAAACGTTTTCGCAAAGGCAATCACTCCTATATTGTACAAGAAGCTTTCAACGTCGTCCGTGACAGTGGGACGCTTTTTGCGGCGTGGAACGAGCAGTGACCGCACAGGTGAGTGGCATCATCATGCAGATAGTGCAAAAATAACTAAGCGAATAGAGATTGGCGCCAACCAGAACAATTGCCAATTGTTTGCACTCCTGCACCGAAGTGCTCGTTTTACATGATTGTTTAGCGTGAAGAGGTTGGCCAATTAGGTCGCGCTGATGCAAGCGTCACATTGCTCGAAAAATAGGCTGGCAATGATCAATTGGCCCTGTTTGTTGACTTCGGTTGGCAAAATTTATGAATCTGTTTGCATTTATTTGGTTATTGTCATCAAAGCCTGGCGAGAAACTTGAAAGCTTTTAAAAAGCATTCGTGCCGGCGGATTGTGCCATGCGTATGTGTATTGACTTGACCTGATGCCACTTAATGCCACGACGGGTGGTGTCCGAGTCAGTTTTTAAACAGACAACGTTGTTCTCTTCTCGTTCAATTAGTCACATCGCTATGCATGGGACAGTGCTGCAATCGCATACTGATTTGTAGATGGCATATTCGTGTAAACCACACAACTCACACAACTGATTAAAAGCCCTTGCACACCCAGACTTCCGAAATCCAAAATCAGCCTTTCAAAACGCATAGAAAACGCGCTTCGTCCGCGGTCATAACCCAAGGTTCGTGCTGGAGTAAGCGTAATCAGCTTAACCATTGCCGGTTTTTTCTCCCCCGAGCGATTTCCCTCTCGTAGTGACACTGTTTCGGCGACATTTTGAATCAGCTTGTATCTGTCCTCGGCGACTTTTCCTGTTTGTCAAAATGTGTATTCGCTGGTCATATTACAATAGTGATTGAAAATCACTGCCTGACAGAACAGGCACTCGGAAATGTTGCAAAGTGTATGCCACACAGCGTTAAGATGTTGCCTTTGATAAGATGCGATTGGAGAGCCATGCCTTTAACACTGATGCATTGTTATTGTTTATTTTTTATCAAAAGATAACCCGTGTGATTTAGTTCCTAAGACCTTATTTCGGGCATTTTATATTCTATGTGATGGAAACGGCGCAAAGCCGCAATCAGTGATTGCAAGACAATGATGTCCAGAAAACCTAACGACCGGGTTGGAACGCCAGAAGCGAAAATAGCTAAGCTCAGGTGGGAGTCAAACGGACTTCGTTGGTATAAAGTGTAAAAGCCGTATCGTATTGATCATGGGCGTCCCCATAAATTGAGCAGTATGACCTATTCGATCAATTAGCAAGCACCATAGCGGAACATCTGTTTCTATTTCAATAAATAGCTAGTAGCAGAGACGCTCCCGGACAAAACGTGCTTGGAATAAGAACTAAGGTGCGAGTGCGAGGTGCGATGTTGATGATGACGAGATGAGTGCATTACAAACGTTCGCACCGCTCAGACATCCTTCATGACGTCCAAGTGTAAATCGGGAAGTAGCGTCCACTTTTAAGAGGGCATTCAAGATGTCCAGAGAGAGGACGGCGGAGTGAACCGATTCACGCATGTTTGCACCTCGACTTCCTCCATCAAATGGCTTGTATGGGCCGGCCACCGGCACATAAAGTTAAATCCCACGATGGCACAAAAACTCGCAATGGCGTCACGTGTTAAAGTGGCTCTGAAAGCTGGGAGCAAGCCACTTTGCGAGGCGAGGTGGGACGGCAGCGGGCCGCCGGACATTTCAGCATGCTGGCAGGCTATAGCAGATGATGCCGTGTGTGCGCAATAGGCTACTTTTGGACAGCTCCGAATCCTCTGGCGCGGAGGAACGGGGTACATTAATGGACCATGACCACCGCCATCTTAGCATTTAATAGTTGCTGGAGATCTACGCTCCCCCCCCCCCTCGGTGTCTTGAACGCTCTTTTAGCGCTCCGTCCCCCTGTAAGCCTCCTCTAGTTCTACAAGAAGCCGGCAGCGACGGACCCATCCGTTCCAGCTGTCGGTCGCCGTTCCGGACGTCACTCCGGAACCGTTCCGAACACCCGTCACTCATCGCAGCCACTGCAGTTCAGCTGTTTATTTTGGAGTCTTGCAAGCCGTTGCTATGGGCTCCTCTCCAGTTCCAGCAAGCAGTATCGAACGTGCGTAGAGCGCTCGTGATTCCACTGCGACGCACTGCGTGATATATTTAGCCCAATCCGTTCATGCACATAACCGAGCCAAGGCATTTGGTGCAATCGGCGGCCAGTGTTATGGCATTCATCAAAACTCCCCATCGGAACCTTGCGGTGCAGGGTTACTTTAACGGCGTGCAGTAACTTCTCCGGACTCAAAATCACTACCATCAGCGGCTATGGATTCTGTGCTCTCGTTAATTTGCGATATTGCCGTCCGGCCGCCGTGACATTGAATCACAAATCACAGCGGTCGCTGAGCGGAGTTCTGCGCTCATTAGAGAGCCAGTGCTGTGCAGCAACGTCCCGGCTGTGTGAGTCGGTGGTGCTCCGGACAGCGATGGAGACGGCATCGACCGACGGCGAGGCTGAGGTGCAGGCTTCATGTCGCCGGGTCCTGCATGGGCGGTGACGGGAGCGCACGCGCTGCTCAAGCTCGACCAATCAGCGGCCATTGTTAATTATTTACTGCTCACGCACCTCTTCGGACGAGGAGCGTGAAAGACGAAGCCTGTGCCCATTTGCTGTATCAGTTCCCAATCGATCACGGGTAGGTGGTTATCGCGATCACGTACACGCATTAGGCGCGGAGGTACAAAGGCATGGTAGACACGAAGGTGATTAGGCACGAAGGAGTATTCCAGCCGCTGCTTTAGATTCCGACACCCGCGAGAAAGAGTCCGATTTGTTGTTTAGAGGCAGTATGACCACTGCGGCCGCAAGCTGCTCGGGGGAGGTCGCGTGGCGAGCCATTGATCACAACAGACAGATGTCTGATGCCGAGTTACGCGGACGAACTGACACAGACGTGACAATTATCAAGGGCGTCACTCGCTATCACATCGAGATCAGAAACTAAGCTTATTAAGGCAGACACCTCTGACACGCCATGCCAATAGGCGTGACCGAAGTGTTGAGAAGTCCGCCAGCCATGAAATTTGGACAGACAGAGGTTCACTGACATAGTTTTCACGCGCTTATTAAAAAAGAGCATTGCTTGTTAAGCTACCTGGCTAGGAGCCCGACCAGGGCCCGGCAACTCCGGTCGACATAACTGATGAATATGCAGTATTGCAGTTTTGAAAATCGTGAGTAACGTCTTGCGAAAACACAAATCAGATTGAGCAGGGTCAGACGTGGAGGTACTCTCAGATATTGATGCAATGGCCCCATCACTCACAGCTTAGGTAATAGCGTCTTGTATTCGGGATGGGAATGGGACATTATCCGTTCTCCAGCCGGTAACTGGCACAGCAATTCCGTGACGTTCTTGAAATCTGTCAAGGGGCCAATGGCTGTGGCTGTGGTTCACCTAGAACGTGTAGTAAGCTTCTCTCCCTTCTCTGCTCCGTTAACTGAGACTCGACACAAGTCCTCAAAAGCATCCCAAAGTGGATGGACCCCTGCTTTGATCACAAGAGAGCATGGCCACATGCACACATCAGTATCTTGTCGCTGTCCCCGCCCTTGACCCGTTTTCTTCAGCTTATCCGCCATTTGAGAGTCTGACGTGTGACATGTCAATCGAATGACCCCTGAGCCCATGCAGGTCGAATGATCCGGTCTGAGCTCCTCGGCCGACGGATTACTACGGTGGGCCCGACAGGACTGGACCCGAGCACAGCCGCTGCCAAAAGGAATCGTCCACGACGCCGGCATGATGCGTTTACGGTGCCGATGCGTCGCAGTCTGATTACTGACCGACGCCCGCAGCCGCCACGGTCATGACCGCTGCCTATCACGTCGGCTGTCCAGCTATCGCAGACGGCGTCAGGCGATGCGCTGGACTCAGTCCTCTCGATTACGTGTAAACAGCTGCCGGCTCGCGCCTCAGCTGTTTACTTTCCAACTGGCAGGAGCGGCGCTGGGTCGGCGGCTTGGTGCAAGCAAGTTAGCACTGACGGCATTATCACGGAAGTCAGGCCTCCCGCCTGCCTTTGAACTGAACAGAGCCCACCGGCATGATTAGTGCCGCGGAGCTTCTCTGGGCGGAGGAATGGCACGCGGTCTGTTCAGCGATGCAGGCTCTTTAATTGGATGCTCCCAGCCGCGTTCAGCTCACGCTTTGGGGGTAAACAGTCCGCGGATATACAGGTTAGCTC